CGTCTGTGCCCAGGGAGACACAAAACTGAACTGGGTTGTTAAAGAGGGGGGTGGGAGGTGTTGTGTGTTAGAACCAGCTACAGCTTTTGCAATCGTGGTTCAGTTCAGTCGGCCTCTAAAGGAGATTCCAAATGATAAGGATTCTGGGACCAGGTGATTTGTACATCCTCTCTCAGGATATAAATGAGGGCACCTTGGTCTTGTCACACAGAAAGCAGAGTACATGAACACAGGAAGTAGATTCAGGAAGATGACTGGACTGTATGGAAGGCACCGCTTATGCAACTTTTGGACAGCTTCATCTGCTTCCTAGGCCCTCGGCTACCTTCTACCCTTGGCAGCCGGCTGCCCTCCCACTGGATGAAAATCAGATGCCAGACTCAAGCCATACAGCCCTGCAAAGTAGCAGCTTTCTCAGGGGCTGCCACTGTGGCTATATAACAAGGCAAGAACCGCAAGGAACTCCACGGGACAAACACTAAGCAAGAAGAGACTTGGGGAAAAATAAGAGAAGGTGGGAACAAGCTGTCAGAAAGGTTCTTTGACTTCCTTCTAGAAGCACAGTGGTTGTGGTGGTTTTAATGAGAATAGCCCCGTAGGCTTATGGATTTGAAGGTTTAGTCTCCAGCTGGTAGAACTCTTTGGGAAAAGTTAGGAAGTGTGGCTTTGTTTGGTGTAGATGTGTAGATGTGTCACTACAGGTGGGCTGCAAAGTTTCAAAAGCCCATGCAACTGCCAGACTCTCTCTCTCTCTCTCTCTCTCTCTCTCTCTCTCTCTCTCTCTCTCCCTTCCTCCCTCCCTCCCTCCCTTCTTCCTCATGCTTATGTTTCAAGATATAAGCCCTCAGCTATTGCTCCAGCATCATGCATGCATGCATGCCTGCTGCCATGCTTCTTATCATGTTGGTCATAGACTCATGCTCTGACACTGTAAGCCCCAATAAACTCTTTTACAAGTTGCCTTGGCCATGGTGTCTTTTCCCAGCAGTAGAGAAGTAACTAAAATAGTGCTTCGCCATGGCTTGGCTGGAGGCATTCTCCCAGAACTGAGTACTTGCTTGTTTTCCTGTGATGACGTGGCCAGGTGGATACCATATAGCTTCCCATCTGCATCCCCTGGTGCCATGCCCCACTTCCCTCTCTCCCTTGCTCTTGATGCCCTAGAATCACACCTACCAACTGTCAGCATATAAGCCTTGCCTTTGTTCTCTCTTCAAGGGAATACAGACTTAAAAGATGATGTCCAGCATTTCACACAAAAGTTTCATTGATGTTGACATGTCCTAATGAGATCAGTGACAATGTCAACATTGAACCTGTAAGGACTTTTATCTTTCCATTGTCTCATAACCAATTTATTGGAGAGTTTTATATAAACTTGACACAAGCTAGAATTATCTGAAAGGAAGGAATCTCAATTGAGAAAAGTGCTTACATGACTGTGGGGAGTAGGTCTCTATTGTGCAATATTTTAATTAGGCAAAGATGTATTACATTTGTTTCTGCTGCCTTTGTTACCAATTTAAAGATGTGTTACATTTGTTTATGCTCCATTTGTTTAATTATGTAAAGTTGTATTGCATTTGTTTCACTTTGCCTGCCTAAGGCACCTGATTGGTCTAATAAAAAGCTGAATGGCCAATAGCTAGGCAGCAGTGGGATAGGCAGGGCTGACAAGCAGAGAGATTAAGTAGGAGGATAAATCTAGGCTCAAGAGAGAAGAGAAAGAAGAGAATGAGGGAGAAAAAGAGGAGATTCCTGGGACAAGAAGCCAGGCAGCCACCTGGAAAGTAAAATATACAGAATGAAAGAAAGGTAAAAGGCCCTGAGGCAAAACTTAGATAAAGAGAAACAGTTTAAAACAAGAGCTAAGATAAGGCTAAGCATTCATAACTAATAAGAAGTCTTCATGTCATGATTTGGGAGCTGGTTGGCATGCCAAAAGAAAGCCTGCTATGGGTCTCTGACTCTTGTGCCTGCTCTTGGGACTCTTTTCCTCCTGTTGGATTGCCATGCCCCAACTTTCAGATGATAGTTTTTGTCTCATCTTATTATATTTTATTTTGTCATGTTTGGTTGTTATCTCTTAGAAGCCTATTGTTTTCTAATAAGAGACAGAAAAGGAGTGAATCCAGAGGGGAGAGGAGGATGGGAGGAAATAGGAGGAATAAAAGGAGGGGAAACTATAATCAGGATATACCGTATGAAAACAGAGTCTATTTTCAATAAAAGAGAAAAATGAGAGAGAGAGAGAGAGAGAGAGAGAGAGAGAGAGAGAAATATCTCCAAGATCCAGTTGTAGGGCATTTTCTTAATTATTGATTCACAGGGGAGGGCCCAGCCATTGTGGGTGGTGCCATCCCTGGTCTGGTAGTCCTAGGTTCTATAAGAAACCAGGCGAAGCAAGCCAACAAGCAGCACTCCTCCATGGCCTCTGCATCAGCTTCTGCCTCCAGGTTCCTACCCCATTGGTGTTCCTGTTCTGACCCTTCAGTGATGAACAGCAAAGCTGAAGTGTAAACCCTTTCCTCCCCAAGTTGCTTTGGTCATGGTGTTTCATCACAGCAATAGTAACCCTAACTAAGATATAATAATAAGCATGATAATAGCGTAAGCATAATAATTCTCTGTAATGTTTATACTGTGTTTGGAATTCAAAGCAATGTAGAGATGATCTAAGTGTACAGAAAGATTTTTAAGTTATATATATAAATCTTTCACCAATGGGCTTCTTACACATCCTCTAGTTGAAGTATCCTCAAGAAGTCCTGGGAACAATACCTCAAGGATATAGGTAGACAATTGTGTCCCATCCTCATAAACTGATTCTAATGATTAAGCACCATCATTAGAACCCCTTTTATCCTTTGAGTTTGTGGGAATGAAAAAGAGCAGAAGACCACTGTATTCAATTTAACCCATTTGCTTAAATCTGGAACCTACTATGTGATGCTGGGTGATTCATTGAAAATCTTTGAGTCTCATTCCCCAACCTGTTATCAATAAGGTCTCAATGTGATGAGGTCCCAGGGAAGACTTCTGGGGAACCTGTGAAAGTTGGACAATTTACATGATGTCCCAGGTTTCAGTTCACTCATGTGTGAAATGGAAATAGTAATGCAACCTACCTCACAGGTTTTCTTTGAGAATTTGGTCGTATCATCTATGTACAGTACTTGTAAAGTTCTTTTTTTTGGGGGGGGGGGTTGTTTGTTGTTTGTTTGGTTTGTGTTGTTTTGTTATTTTGAGATAGGATTTTCACTGTGTAACTCTGGCTGTCCTGGAACTCTCTATAGACCAGGCTGGCTTCAAACTCAAAAATTCACCTGCCTCCACCCCCCAGGAGTCAGGATTAAAGGCCTATACCACCACACCAGGCTTATTTGTAAAGTTCTTGATTGATCATTATCATCTCTGAAAAGAAGCAACTCCTCCCCACCCACCCACCCAAGAAATTAACAGCTGTAAAGATTAACTGTCCTCATGGTCTGGGTTGGGTCTGCACACCTGGAGTGTTTAGAGCATGGCATAACAGTATGGGGGTTGTTTCCCCCTAGGGAGAAACGTTATCATTTGTGTTTGAGTGTTTTTCCCTCCCATGATAGGAGGAGACTCGTCACCTTCTGAGCCCCGAGAGTTCCCTCTCCAGACTGCAACCCATTCCTGCCCCTGCTCAACAAGCTAGCCATTTCTGCTGCTCTGTTCTCCATCCCTTGCTTTCCCTTACCCTGGCAGAAGACAGAGACTCACAAACAATGCTGCCTCCTAGCCTTACTCAAGTACTAATTTGAAATGAGTTACCTGAAGCCCCAAATCTGAGGAGGGGCTCTTGGCTAAGAAAGAGAGGACAGATTCATACCGAATGACTTTGTTTTGGTTGACACTTGATCTAACGTCACTCCTTTATGAAATAATGAGGAAATAAAACATGGACTTGGAAATAGTACCAGCATGAGGACCCACTGCAGAAGATGTTCTAGATTGGTGTGTAAAACATGAGGCTATTAGAGTCCCCAAGAATTCCATTACCAGTGACATGAGGGACACCAGACGCCTATCCCTGCAACAGCTGACTGAGAAATGGAAGCATACTGCCCCCGGCTCAGCTCACAAGACAGATCCACATTTCTCAGGCAATATCCTGAGAACAGCTGTCCTTCCTTTGTACGGGAGTTGGGCCTCAGCATATCTGATGAACCAAAAACCAAAAACAGAGCAAGACTGCTGGGACCTGGAGACCATAATGAGGCAGCAGACACAGCCTCGTGGCGATAGAAGCAAACACTGGAGTCTGAGCTGATCCCATCAGTGCCCACCACCGCACTGACCTCATCCCGAAAGCCTCCACAGGTATTCTTCTCCCAAGATGTCCCCCTCTGGAGATTCATAATTGCCACGAAACACCATAATTCTTACAATTAATGGTTTATTCCAGACACCGCACTGATTGCCACTGTTCAGCTGGATTAAAGGTTGCCCGTTACCGAGAAGCTCTGCAGCAATCTCTCCAGTTAATTACCGTTTTCAAGCACTTGCCGGGAAGTCAACATCAACAGACTGTTGCTGGGTAATTGCCATTGTTTACAGCAGATTGCAAGGTGCCCTGGCTCCCTCCTCCCTGTCGCTATGATCCCTGCCATCATCATCATCATCACCGTCGTTCTCGATGCGGACTGAATGTCCACTTGGGTGCACTCCACCCCACTAAGAACGCTAACGTGTCCTGCAGCACAGCTTGATAAAGAAAGCTAATCATGAAAACGGCGCTACTGTTCTAATTCAGCTTCCTGATGTACTAATCATCTTGGCTCCGTTTTGAAACCTAATGGCAGCAGAACACAGGCATCAGTAAACTAACCCTTTGCTGGGGGAACATCTCCTTTGGTGCCTGACTCAATAGGCTCTCCCAATATTTACTCAATAATTAAAAACATAAATGAAGTCTATAGCAAAAATAGCCAATGAGATCTGAGGCACACCAGATTAAAAAAAGAGAACCAACACTTACCTGGCAGGGGAGATACCGTGATTATGAAGGTGGTTTTCCCAGAGTGAAGCTTATCCATTGCACTCTGGATGTGCTGACCCTTGCGATTTCCCCAAATTTGGGGAACTCAACTGCATAATTTGTGGTAGTAGGGACTGCATTTGTACTCCCCTGAAAGTAAAGAATATATATATATATATATATGAGAGAGAGAGAGAGAAACAGCTCATGGCTCTTTTCCAAAATTTATTTTATTTTTAATTATATATATGCTTGTGTGTGGGTATGTGAGCATGCAAACAGGTGTCCATGGAGGTCAAAGGCATCAGATTCCCTGGAGCTGGAGTTACAACAATCTAACATGAGTACTGAGAACTGAATTCGGGTCCTCTGCAAGAGTAGTACATTCACATAGCCACTGAGCTATCTCTCCTGCCCCAGCTCATGTCTCTTTTGTGATAATTAGAGATGTAGGCTCCTCATCTACTTAACATTGTATCCAGGAGAGATTATCAACTCTTTTCTATTAAAAAAAAAAAAAAAAAAAAAGGAGGGAGAGAAGGAGGGAGAAGAGGAGGAGGAAGAGGAGGAGGAGGAGAAAGTTCACAGAAAATTATTGTCTTGGTTAGCCTAGAATCGCCTGGGGACAGGGAGAGGCATCTCAATTGATTAATTGTCTTTATGAGGCTGGTCTGTGAACATGTCTACAGAGGTGGTCTTGATTTTTAATTGACGTAGGAGGGTCCCGGCCACTGCAGGTAGAACCATTCCCTAGGCTGGTTATCGAAGACTATGTAAGAAAGCTGGCTAAGCATGATCCAGAGAGTGAACCAGCAAGCACCATTCCTCCATAGCTCCCGCTTCAAGTTCCTGCCCAGCTTTCCCTCGGTGATGGACTGTGGCCTGGAAAAGCCATCCTAACAGCACAGGTTTCCTCCCTGAAGTTGCTTTTGGTGTGAGAGTGTTCTACCAGGGCAAGAGAAAGGAAGCTAGAACCAGCAAGCACAATTACATAAAGCTACGAAAGGGGACTCACTCCCTGGCCTACAGGATAGAGGCGGGTGGTCTAGCAGAATCTTAGAAGAAGGCCTTAGAAGTGATGTTGCATTGGGAATGTGAAGGCGTAGAAAGCTTCCTGGGAGAAGCTGGAGTCCAGTGTCTATAGGCAGTGACAGCAGTGACAGAGGCCTGGGACGTTTGGAGCTGTCACGTGCTGACCCCAGCCCTGAGGCTGCCCTCTCAAGTTAGCCTTTCCCCATCATGCAAACACACAGAAATGTGTCTAACAATCTCCCAGACATCTCTCTGTTCAATCAAGTTGACAGTATTAGCCAACACAGCAGCATTTCGGCTTTTTCTACTGGGAAGGACCTGATGCTCAGACATGTGACACACTCGTAATCAAGGTTAAGAATGACCCCTATCACTTTCTCTTCCCTCAAAGAAATAATGGAACCTGCAGAGAGGACATCAGTGTGATTGAAGGATAACCTTAAGTTTGTTCTCATTTCTTAAGACAAATCATTCCAAACTCTTGGCTCCTGAACTTACTGATAATGGATCATGTGTCAGTTCACTGACAGCCAACTGCGGCATGGCTGGTTCCCTCAGCACAGGAGCTGAGAAACTGGCTCCTAGGAACCCACCATATCTCAGTTAACTCTACAGTCCAGTACCGTAGTTACTTACTTAATATTGTACCTTAGTGTCATTATTGTAACATGAGAAGTTTGAGTAAATGCTATAGACTAAAGGTCTTCCTTCAAATTGCATATGGTAAAACCCTAATTCCCAGTATGATAGTATTTAGAGATGAAACCTTTTAAAGGTGATTAGATCACGTGAGATTAGTGTACTTATAAGAACAGACACAAAGGTATCTGCCCTCTCTCTCAACCCCTGGCCACTTAAGAAAGCAAAAAGACAGTTGTGTGCAGATCAGTAATAGGCCCCCACCACATACCATCTACTGGTGCCTTTTCTCAGATTTCCCAGAACCATTAAAAAAAAAGTGTCACTTAAACCCCCCACTCTGGGGGGTTTTGTTACACAGCCTGAGCTGATTAAGACAAGTGCACATCTCAGTTCTCAATGTTCTACCCCAGGTCTGATTCAGAGCCCTCATTGGACTCTGAGGAGGGAGTTAAGTTTGACATCCTGTGAAAAGTTAAAATAGGATTCAGAACCTTACTAAATACTCTATAGTCGTGAAAAACACTGACATCTCTCACATTGTGTTAGAGTACACTAGAAATTTCTGTAGAGCGTGAACAGGTTCCCTGTGTGGCTGGAGTCTCAGCTAACTGTTTGGATGTGTGTTTATTATTTGCAGAGCATGTCTCCTTTCAGAGACAAAACTTCTCCCATTCAGCCACGGTTCTGCTCATGAGGTTTGAGTAAGGCACACTGCTCCCCAGAACAGACTGATGATGAAAGCCTAGCTGTGCAGGCTTTGGGGGCTTTCAGCAGTTGTGTGGGTGACACAGATACAACTCTGCTTCCCACCACCATGTAGTAAAACAGGATTGACAGGGATGCTTGGTTAAAGTCACACATGCAGAAGGCAGGAAGGCCGCTACACAAATGCAAAGTGGTTTCTTTTTCCACTTCAAATATGGCGTCCTTGCCATTTCTTCGCTCATCTTCGGACCCTTGGTGTGTCTTTAAATCCTCCCTGTGAACACAGAAAGATGCTGAGGCTCACTATGGCTCTGAGGATTCAACCTCACCACCAGTCAGTGCAAGAGAGCAGCCATCTACTGCAGCCATTACAGGAATGCAAACTGTGACCTATGACACAAGCATCTGACCTGTGGCACAAGCATCTGACCTGTGACACACACAAGCATCTGACCTGTGACACACACAGAATGGTGCTGGGAATGCTTTCCAGAGCCTAATACATTGCATTGACTTTGGGGCAGAAATGTCACCAGAGAGGAACAGCAACATGGAAATGGTCAAATGGTCCAAAACGAAACATACAACGAATGCTCTCCCATGTCTACATTAAAAACCATAGGCTCAGAGGGACAAAGAAATTTAGTCAGTAGAAAAATCACCTCTCAATGAGGAGCCAGGGTGGTTTATCAGAACTCACCAGGACTTCAACACTATAGATAGATATCCCAAAGTTAGCTTCTCCACTTTACCTGGTTTTTATCCAAGAGCCAACCCATGACACTGAATGTGTGGTCACTCTAGTTCAATCCACCAAACATATCTGCTGTGTCTTCTGTGTACTGGGGATCAGTAACAATGGGATAAGCAAGAAATAAGCCCTATATTGAAATAAGAGGTGTCAGAAAAGGAGGTTGAGGAAGATCCCCAAGAGTCTGTCTTGGGTGTCAGAACAACTGAAACTTACCTGAGAGAATCTAAGAGGAGAAACAGGCCAGGAGCAGAAATGAGAAAACGAGTTGGTTGGTTGGCTGATTGATTGGTTTGACACCAGACCTATAGAAATGCTTTTGACTATAAGAAACAACTCAGCCAGCAGAATTCTAGCAATAGACATTTAGTCACTGTAACATAAAATCTGGAAAAATGAGACTCAGGCCAGTGCAGTGGTTCAGTCCAGCCATATCATCAAAGAGCCAGGCTCCATCCATCCTTTATTCCAGCACCCTTGACATACTGGCTTTTTATCTTTGTTCTTAATGTTTTATGTTCACAGTGTGGCTGCCACAGCACTGGGCATCATTCTACATTCAGGCAATGAGTAGACCGTGTCTTATCAGGAAAGCCATATTTTCCTCAGACGCTCTCAGCATCAAGCTTCTCATCTCATCTCACTGAAGACAGCTGCAATGTACATCATAAGGGAGTGTATTCTTATTCTCTGCAGCCAGAGGTAAAACCAAAAAATAAAAAATAAATAAACAAAAGGCACAAACACATGAGGAGCTGGGGAGATGTCTCAGTGGACCAGAGTTTGAATCTCCAGTAGTCAGGTAAAAGCTTGAACTAGAATGCCACATCTGTAACCCCAGTGCCCCTACAGGGACAGGGGTGGTGGGACAGGAGGAACCCCAGAGGGTCACAGATCAGCTGGCCAGGCACACACTGAAGAAAGATAACAAAGAATGTGGGTCAAATAAGGTGCAAGGTAAGGGCTGACACCCGAGGTTGTCCTCTGATTCATGTACCTGCATGCGCGTGCACGCGTGCGCGCGCGCACACACATACACACACACACACACACACACACACACACACACACAAACTGGGGGGTCATATGATATTTAACACAGACAACGTGTTCAGTTGAACATTTTCCTAAGCAAGCCGAGCAAGCTCCAGGAATTCTCCAAATATAATTCCAATATTTTATGTCCTTGTACGCAAGGGGCACAGTAAAGAAATGGCCAGTGATATTTTATGTCCTTGTATGTGAAGGGGTGCAATAAAGAAACTACCTACACAACTGCTCCATTATTGTGGAGCGGGGAGGGGGAGGGGGTGGTGAATAAGAGAGAGAAAATATTCAGAGATATCTGGACGAGTCTAGAACAGAGAGAAAAAAAGCAGAGTGGACATGGCCAGGACTAAGGAGGGCAGGGACAGTAATGGAGATAGGGAGGCAGAGATAGAGAGCAAGAGAGAGAGAATGTATGTGGGGAGGGGGAGGGGGAGAGAGAGAGGGAATGTATGTGGGGAGGGGGGGAGAGAGGGAGAGAGAGAATGTATG